CATTCTTCTTTATTTCTAGATAATATTCCCTCAAGTAAGTAAAATATATCGTATCACCTTCCGGCCAAAGTATCACAAGCGCCAGGCAACGTTTCAAAATCTCCGCTGCCATTTTATTGTTTACAGAGAAATTGTTGGTTGAATCTGTGTGAAAATTTCACCGAACTTTATCGACAGCGCGAAGAAAATTCAGTGAAATTTTCGGACAGCTTTGCTGAACGTTTTTTTTTTTTGTGAAAAAATAAAATGACGGCGTAAATTTTGAAACGTCGCGTGGCGCTTGGGATACTTTTTCCGGAAGGTGACGATATGCAGACATGTGCCCGTTTCTGGATACTAGTCTTCTAAATTGGACGTATTTCTGCCAAACGGAGCTAAGTGCATTGAGATATGAGCCCTGAGACTCATAAGAATATATGCATAATAGGGCTCACGTCATAATGCGCACATAGTTCCTTTTGATAGAAATACGTCCAATTCAGCTTTGATGCATGTGAGAAATCTTCGAGAGGACCAAATCGCATTAGAGCCAATGGCCAATTCCACTTTTGATGATTTTTACGCCATCGAAACGACATTGGTAGCGTAAACTAGTGCTTCCAGCCGTTTCTTACTACTTGTAAAGTTAAATTGCGAGACTCGAAATGTACTTGATTGAGAGTGCAAGCTTTTGTACTTTTTTATGATAGAGAAAAAACAAGCCACTCAAAACTCTAATCTGGCCATTATCTCTCACTAACCTAATGTGTTGTGCATTCATCTCCCCTAAGTAAAAACATTCTATTTTTCTATTTAAAAAAAAAATGACTTTAAATTTTCAAAAGAATACACTTCACGGAGATTTCCTGTTTTGCGACGAAGCATTTTTCGTTATTCATAGCATCCCTGACGATTCCCCTGCTCGACAACTACGAAGGTGGCTGCTTGTATTCCGATTCCATAACAGTTATGAAGTCGGATAGCAAGGAGGTGGGTGTCGGGTTAAAGTGCTTACGTATGTCATAAGTACACCACTTACCAAGTAAGTGCGAAGCCTTACGAGGTGACATCTTCGCGTATTTGCCTCGATTTTTGCACGGTTTTGCAACGATGGCTCGAAGGCGAATCGAATCGATACCATATTTCCATTTTCATTTCAGCCACGGTATCTCTCGTTAGGGCTCTCTTCGGGCGAAATAGCGTGCCTCTGTCAACTAAACTCTGCTTCTTCATTGACAAGATATTGGTTCTAACATATTCCAACACTGCACTCAATTCTGATGCCTAGTACGTCTCCACCCGACTTCAGCAAGGTTGCCAAATCATAGGGGAAACTCCCTGATAATTGAGTGGCGTCTATAGAGAATTTGATCAAATCTTTCACAGTTTCACAATTGCCCTCTTATTTTCTCGTTCATGTCAGTGCTCGGCGTATTCTTCGAATGCAATAGGCTCATGGTCCAACAGTCAACGCTCGATGCCGTCGAAGGAAGAACGCCGTGTGAACCTTCAGGCGTTGCCAAATTTCCTTTCATAAAAAACCGAATTTCCTGGTGAACTTTTGAATCTTTTTTTTTCCAATTTTTCACGTAATTTTGTTCGCAATTTCACCTTAAGTCCCTGAAAATTTCAAGAAAAAATATTCATACCTTTCCTCAAAAATACATATATTATTGAAAGAAATTTGGCAACTCTCGAAAGTTCATACGGCGTTCTTCCTTAGCACGACAGTGTGGGTCTCGTTCAACTCCCACTGGAGTGTCATCGCAAAAATTATATATGAGGCTACATGAAAAAACGATTTTAGGACTGGGTCCTAGAATGGCATCCCTTGGATTCCGGGGTGGCAACAGGGTAACGGACACTAATTTAGGTAGGGTTGAATAGGTAGGTTATAGGTAGGGTAAAACATACATACTAATACTCCTAAAATTATTATACAAATTATTCTGTACCGTTTCGCGATGTGCGGTCACCCTTTTTTTGTGTCCGCCTTCAATTAGTTGAGTATGCAACGCGCATTCCTGGCGTTTTAATGATGGTATCGTCGAATGCGGAAGACAGTTGTTTTAAGCACGGTGTTTAATTGGTTTTTTTTTGTTTTTTTGTTTTTTTCATGGATCCGTTGCATGGCATCGATGGGTGAATTTGTTGAGCAATATCGCAACATTGGCGCTATCATTACGAACAGACATTCGGCGCACGATCCCTCATTTGATACTCAGCTCCTCCGAAAATAGAACTCAAATGACGTAACCGAATGAAATTGAAGTGAAGACCTATTGAAAGGTATATGAGACAGTTATAAGCTTCCGGATTAGAACTTACTCTGATACGTACTTGAAATGAATTGGACGACAAGATGAATGAGAGGGCACGTTTTAAACCCTCGTGACAGATCAGATCTGTTTAATCAAACGCGCACAGTGTGAGAGTATATAACAACATAAAGCTCTTTTGCCCTACCTCTGCGAGATTGAGATACATGTATATTTTGATTTAGGTCTAGAAAAAAGTGGCAAAAAAGTGAATCCACAGTCGGCTCTGATTATTTAGGAAATTATATAGGAATCAAACTCAAAACTGCCAATGTCTATATTCATATATCTCCAAAATTACTGACGTCCCAGTACCTACTTTACAAGTCAAAATAGGATTTTTTATCTCGTCTATCAAATACTAAATCCGGATGGACGGAAAAGCTAAAAAAAAAACCAAGATAACTGGTGGTAAAATTGTCCAAAAAGACACTCCATAACTTAATATTGTCCAAACCGTATCGCTGAGCTAAAGATTCAAATTTAAGGCAGAAAGCACTGGGGAAAAAAACACATTGGATCTAGAGTCCAGGCTCTTGAAAACATTGACAAGAAAAAGGACTCTTGATTCAATCAGATTTAAGCTTAAATCAAAAGGAAATCCGCTCAAATTGAGAGCAGTGGCGTGGCGTGAATGATCGATTGTCGATATCTCGCCATTTGAAGCTATGGTAAAGAATCGATTAATAAGGTGTTCGCTGCGGACACTCTAGTATTCGATATTTTTTCATAGGTTTGAGTGGCGTATCAATCGATATATCGCAAAGCACGCCACGCCACTGATTGAGAGGCTTGGTTCTTGATTTAAGCTTGAATCTGATTGAATCAAGAGTATTTTTTCTTGTCGATGTTTTCAAGAGTCTGGACTCTAAATCCAGTGTGTTTTTTTTCTTTTTTCCAGTGTATTGCTGATAGATGGATCAAGGTTGATACTTTCTCTTGGCCCACCGCCTTGCATAATATCTAGATACGGTCGAGTATTGACCTCCAAGTCGAAACGAGGATGTCAGTGCAGGTTTTCAAACCCGCACACTTTCGATAAAAATAGTAATATATAAAAGGAAGAAATAATAAAAATATATTTCGGTGGTAGATGTTTCAACAGCAAAAAGAATCAGCGAGCGCAGAAAAATAAAAGAGGAACGAAGAGATCCCGTGAATTAGGATGTCTTCAACAACATTCGATGGATGATATTGATCGCTAGTGAGCGTGACGAATAATGACAATCTTCTAACCCGGGCCAAATGTAGTCATAATAACGGGGGATTCTTTGTTTACACTCTACAATAGGAGGCCTTGGCATCATAATCAAAAAGCTAACCGCTTGATTACATAAAGAGATTAATAATAACGCTTTTGTGAAGAGTCTAACTGATGAACAAAAAATCGAAGTCTACCAAGGGCACTCATGTTGTCTCACTTTCAATTCCTAGCTCACATGTTTGAGCGCTCTCGCCAAAAATACGCAAGAAATCAAGGCAATTCCCACGCTATTCTCATGATTTAATTGCTCCACTAAAATAATCGGAATCATAAATCGGTTCTTAATCAGTATCTCGTAGAGAGGCGTTGTAAGTCCAAAAAAACCACATTCGATGGGCTTGGAAAACAAGGCACATAAGTGCAGTTTTTAAAAATATTGAGGTATTAATGATTTCAAGTGAAGCTTGTCTCGATGCATTTTCTGTGAATAATTCGCTTCCGAATTCCAATTTTTAAGCATCAAAAAGTAAGTTGGAACTATCTTTCCGCCACAAGGATCCATGTTATCTCGAAACTTCAGACACGTCTTTCTCGAAATAGCAAGAACTGCGCTTATGCGCCTTGTCCTCCAAGCCTCTCATTTTTCAGGAGAGACAAGAAACCGATTTTTCTGCCAAGCAGAGCAACTAAACGTTGTCGTGAATATTGAAAGGATGGGTTTACAATTTTTGGAGGGTTTTGAAATAATGTTTTGGATGGGACAATTTGTCTGAACCTTTGAAGCTAATATGAAATTTTGGACTTGCGTCATGCACCTCATTTTAAGACGGTTGAGGAAAACCGAGACATTTTTAGTAAAAATTAGATTTAAAATGAATTTGAAAATTATATCGACGGTGAGCTACCGGACCTTGTATCTTGGTTTGCAAGGTTGTAGATTTCCTGTCGTACTTCATATTTAAATGGAAATCTACTTAACGTCGATTCTTGAAAACTTCCGAATTCTTCTTCCCTATGTCAAGAAAACTCCGTGAAAACTTCAAGAAATGATATTGATTTGTTCCCTCTCAAAAAAATAAAATGAGAGCGGAGACTTTTTAAACACCACAAACGAGATACGTGGTCTGGTAATCACACCGTCGTTGATGTATTACTTATATTTTCGTTGTTTCTGTTGAGTATTGAGGTTGGAATTTTAGATAAAGACAAAAATGTGAGCAGGGTATTGCTCTTTTTTCCAAAATTATAATCATAAAAAAATTATCCAAAAATATATAAAACCCCTCTAGGGGACCCAAAATAAGTACAAAAAAGAAAAATAATTTGAACACTTAAATCTCATATTTTCGGCAAACTATTTAAAGAAGCGCATTTGAATGATAAACCAATATGTGTAATCAAAGAATCGTTTTACCAGACAACTCTTTAAGCTCGGAACTGACTACAGTTTTGAAACACACCTGTAAGGTGTACAATTGAATTCAGTATCAAACTCTTACCTTTTGTGAGCTCGTGCACGGCCATTTTGACCTGGGAAAAGTTTCCCCTGCCGATCTCACCCTGAAGTTTATACAGGGTGATCCGCTTTCCCAAGCTAATTTCTTGCTTCCACTTCTCGTCATTTTGTAGGTTGTGTTGCAGTTTCTCATAAACTGTGAAACAAGAGAGAGAGAGAAATAGAGAAAGCTCAGGTTCGATGTCAACAACTTTTTAAAAAAGTTATTCACCTAACGTACTATTAAACTGAAAAAAGTCAATCGAGTCTCTTATGTCTAAAATAGACCTTGTTTAGCAGAAGGGAACTAAGCCACATCAACTATTGCCAAATTTAACTGAGAAATTTAATTTTTTACAAGAGAACGTCGGCGCGGATTCCTTTGAAAATTTTAAGGAATGAATTTCGGACAATGAAGAAAATTCACTAAAAGCACAAAAATCCGCTTAACCGTTTTCGTGTAAAAAAAATTGCCGAATTAAATTTGACAATAGCTGGTGTGACTTGGTTCCTTTCTGCTCTACGCCAAATAATCAAACGCTGATTGTAAGCCTGGGACACACAGCCAGCAAGTTGCTCTCTCTAGGAACTGCCGCACAGTGGATCGAGTCAATTAGAGAGGTCGGACATGAAATTTTTTACTAAAATTACAAATTTTGATGTTTATTTCATCACATTTTAAACTTGAAGGGGTGCTACCAGGAGCAAATTTCTCGAGGAAACCAATGGAACCACTTTCAGAACCTCAAAGTTTTGTATGAATGGAGTTATAAGCGTTTAAATTTTCCAAATTGTGTCCGACCTCTTCTATTGACTCGGTCCACTGTGTGCCGGAGAGACATTGAGTGTAACCAACTCCAATAATCGATACAAGCATCGGTAAAAATTAGATTTCTCCAACCCTGGAGGACCAATCATTTCACTGGACGCGAACCAGCATACAATAATAGTTACGTTCCATGCCAATTTATGGCGTGTCATTTTTATGCTTGTCACAGTTGAAAGGATGGGTGTCATCTACCGACCTACTTCGGAGAGCAGATAAAATCTTCCACGCCGAAGATAATAGGGGATGTGAAAAGACGAGATTGCGATCAACTGTTGGGCGTGGTAATTTCGGGAACGCCATGGGCTACTGCGCCTTGAGGTTCATCGACCAATTAGGGTAAACGCGCGATGATAAGCCTGTCACGTTGGGGAAGGCGACGGAAAAAAGTGTCGGGTTTGAATTCGAAATTCGCATGTTTCCAAACGACATGACTAATGTGCCCATTGTTGCCGCTCTCCGTGCGACGCTCTCATGACCATTCGTAATAACTCAATGAGGTTGGGGTGTTGTGAATTAGCCGTGGTTTCCGTGTGACAGTAATTGAGACAGCATTTCCGGTATGCTAATTTTTAAAAAAAAAAAATGGAGTAACGTCGTTAAACGGTATGTGTGATGAAATGATTAATGGATAAAGCCACGGAAGAGTATGAAATGCATTAAGTAATGTAAGAAAATACAAATACACTGAGTAGAGTTTAAAGGCAATGAGCCAAAATTCTCTACGGACTCAATTTTACGGACTTGTGACAGTAATTGAGACAGCATTTCCGGTATGCTAATAAAAAAAAAAAAAAAAAAAAAAAAAAAAAAAAAAATTGAGTAAAATCATTAAACGGTATGTGTGATGAACTGATTAATGGATAAAGCCACGGAAGAGTATGAAATGCATTAAGTAATGTAAGAAAATACAAATACACTGGGTAGAGTTTAAAGGCAATGAGCCAAAATTCTCTACGGGCTCAATTTAACCCAACAGCTGATAGAAAAAATCTAGCGCTCTTAGAAAATGATCATTTTCAGAATGAGGGACTGGATGAAATGCAAGTTTACTCGCTGTATATATCGCAACAATTAGCAATTGTGGGAAATATGCAAGGGGCGTACATGCAGCTTCGATGAATTGCATCGGCATCATTAATGAATGGGGCCTTCAACAGCAGGATCGGATCCCAGCTTAGAGCGCCTTCATTTTTTGTGACACTCTACGCTTTACCGCAGAGTTAGTTTAGTTGCCTGTTCGATTCAACCTCAACTAGCGTCATGGTTTCCATTGCGCGCGTTCTCTTAAGTGTGTACCCGCTACTACCCTATTCTCACGAAGAAAATAGTGTCTATCCACGTTGTAGGCAAATAATTAGTACTTTAATCTTTATCTTTTATTTTTGAATTTTGGATTAGAAATTGCTGGCGATTTCTAGCGATTGCTGGCGACGTAGCGTCGTTCCTCTGACGTAAGGCCGCATATCAATTTCCCCGTGAGTCCTGTTCTCCGTATAACTTTTTGTCTTCGCAGCCGCGTGTGGAAATAGAGATACTTCCTTACACAGAGGAGAAAACTGGGTTAATCGTAGTTTATTTAGTAGGATTCTACATAGTGATTTTTTGGTTAAAATCTCAAAATCGAATTTTTTGAGCGAATTGAAAAAAAAAATCGGAAAGGTTGCTACCATGGATCAAGGTACTCTTTCCCATGACCTGTTGCTTACGTCGAGTTTCCAGGAAAATCAATGAATATGTTTACGCATACCCACTGGCGGATCCAGACACTTCCAACGGTGATGCGGAAGGGGCTTCCGCCGAGAAATTTTGGAAATTTTAAATCATCCAATGTGCATTTTAAGTCAATTTTGTCATGAATATTACCAAATGCGTTCTCCCCTCTGTCCTACGTTCCTTCTCTCTTCCTTCCTTCCCTCACTGGAAAAAAAAAACACATTGGATCTAGAATCCAGACTCTTAAAAACATCGACAAGAAAGAATACTCTTGATTCAATCGGATTTTTGCTTAAATCAAGGACCAAGCCTCATAATTTGAGCGGATTTCCTTTTGATTTAAGCTTGAATCTGATCGAATCAAGAGTATTTCTTCTTGTCAATGTTTTCGAGAGTCTGGACTCTAGATCCAATGTGTTTTTTTTTTTTTTTTCCAGTGCTTTTTACGGACAAACGGGGGAGGGGGGCCCTATACGTCCCCCTCAGATCCACATTTTACTTTTCTTTTCTTTTCTTTTTTCCCTTCAAATTTCATTGACGTAAGGCCTCTTTGGGGAAGCGCGGCAACATAGACCACGCCGGCAGGTGTAATGACCAATAAGTCCCATGGCGGAATGGCGCGGCGCGCCTCTCGACACGCCAGCATGTCTCGACGCTTAGCGCCACGGCCACGCGACGCCTCGGATATTCGCGTCACATAGGGACTTGCTTCACCCGCGCCCTCAAAATCCCCTCATCCTCCTGTCACGTTAATACAGGGTAATCCAAGATTCGACCGCCGGACTACCGAAGCAGCTTCAATGGATCTAATCAAGACTGTTTAATTATTTACAATGTGTTCCAAAAATGCTTTTTAAAGAGACTACATGCAGCCGCCCCTCCCCCGAAAAAAAAATTCTGATAAATAAATCATTTTTCCTGCATTTTGGCAACGGTGGCGCAATGAATCTCATGAAAATTGGTCTGCGCTTTTACTTTAATAGGTACACTGAATTTGTTAGTGGAATTTAGAAAATTAAAATCTCAACCGACAGTGAAGTTTCGTAGGGTCTGCAAAAAACCACCTCCATACGCCAAAAAACTAAGTTATTGGCCGTTTTAAGTCCGAGAGCCCCCCCCTCTCAAAATCCTTGTTTCAACTGAGATTTTGATTTTTCTAATGTGCTTAATGAATTCAGCGTTCCAAATTATAGGTGTATTCAAGTTTTCATGAGATTTGGTGCGTTACCGTTGCCAAAATGCAAGCAGAAAAAAATTATTATTAAGGAATTTTGAGGGGCTGTGATCTCTCTCAAAAGCGCAAGAATTCCATGAGAATTGGTATGCGCCCACAACTTGAAACTATGAATTTATCAGTGTTACATGTAGTCCTTGGGAGGGGATCAGGGTCATAGAACTTAAACGGCAAATAATTTGGTTTTTTGGAGTAAAACTGTAGTTTTTGCGGACCCCCCAATTATTCAAGGCGTTTGGGGGGCTGTAACTCCCTCAAAAAGCACGTTTGGACAAAATTTCAAGGAAGAAAAAAGTCTTATTCACATAGAACACGATCCTAAAGTCTGGAGGTTTAACTTTGAATCGCCCTATATGCTCAAATAAATCCAACATTTTCACTACCGCCTGACAACCTGGCAGAGGTGACGCGATTAACCTCCTCCTGCACAATGGTTTTTACAGTGGCGTAGCGTGAAATGCGATTTATCGATTGTTACGCCAATTAAACCTATGGAAATTATCGATACACAGGGTGTTCGCAGCGAACGTCTTAATAATCGATTCTTTACCATAGATTTAAATGGCAGAACAATCGATACATCGCAAAGCACGCCACGCCACTGTTTTTAATCCGTTTTACTTATCACGCCTCAGCCGTCTTACCTCAGGCACCCGCCTTAACACGATCTCCGAGTGTGGGGTAACCTAGATACACGGGGGTTCTTTTAATTCCCCTCTCCTGGCAGGGCATTGCTCCGAGGGTAGGGTTGGTCAGTGAGACGTCTTGACCTTGGGGATGATCCCTAGAACTAGCCCTAGATTAACGGGTCCACATGGGCGTTGACGCTGAAGCTGTGGACACCATCACTGTCACGACTCACGAATATACCTATCTCTTAAAATCCCTGCCTCACCCAAATTTGCACTGGATTAATCATCCTCTACTGGCATTGCTTTGACTAAATGAAAAGGATGGATGATCGAGTGATCAATATTTAAAAAAAAATTACCAAATCCGCAATTCGGCCTGGAGCGGTGCGGCGTAGAGAGCAATGATGACGAGGACTTGAGATGAAAAGGAGAAACCCTCAGCGCGGCGGTCGGCATGTGACACATATCAGCGCCTACAAGACTGCATGAATACTTCGCGCATGCCGTCAAACACAGTGCGGTCAGCAGCGGTCGGCGTGAAACGCACAGCGCCTACAAGACTGCATGAATACTTCACGCATTGCGCCAAACACAGTGCGGTCAACGCGACGCGGCGCGATGGCGAAGTTAAACTTATCAAACCACATTTATATTTGTTCTTTCATAATTTTTTCGTTAATTTCTTATAAATGGAAGGCCTTGTCACGCAGAGATATGTTTACGGAATTTAACTTTCGCGCAAAGTTCCGTGAACTTTTGCTAGTAGTGTTGACAGGGTTTTCGCAAACAAATGTGTCCAACACGAGTAAACGCGTCTTATGCACCCCTCCCCCTCCGGCGCGTTCACTCGATGGGTTTTATTGATATTTCAAAACGAATGAAAAGGGGGCAGCAAAATACAGGCGGCCCATGGGCGTCAAGTAGGTAAATCCGGCCCTGAGCAGAATGGTCGCATCCCGTTCTGACACAAAATACGGCGTCCATCGAATCACCCTCACCGACTTCGTCGAAAAAAGGGTCTAGCAGGTTGTAGCACTCGTGGCAGTCAAAACTATACGACTCCAGCACGGTACGTCTATTCAGCCCGTGGCTTTATGTTTCAATGGACTATTTCCATCTTTTGTGGCTGGATATTAGGGAATTGTATGATTGTCATCGGCAAATGCGAGAGAAAAAATATTAATTTTCTCTTCTTACGTAGTATAAAAATGGAAGCTACATAAAAGCTCTTTTTTGGAACTTTTATTTAGAGTAGGCCCCTCCAACCCTCTNTAAACCTATGGAAATTATCGATACACAGGGTGTTCGCAGCGAACGTCTTAATAATCGATTCTTTACCATAGATTTAAATGGCAGAACAATCGATACATCGCAAAGCACGCCACGCCACTGTTTTTAATCCGTTTTACTTATCACGCCTCAGCCGTCTTACCTCAGGCACCCGCCTTAACACGATCTCCGAGTGTGGGGTAACCTAGATACACGGGGGTTCTTTTAATTCCCCTCTCCTGGCAGGGCATTGCTCCGAGGGTAGGGTTGGTCAGTGAGACGTCTTGACCTTGGGGATGATCCCTAGAACTAGCCCTAGATTAACGGGTCCACATGGGCGTTGACGCTGAAGCTGTGGACACCATTACTGTCACGACTCACGAATATACCTATCTCTTAAAATCCCTGCCTCACCCAAATTTGCACTGGATTAATCATCCTCTACTGGCATTGCTTTGACTAAATGAAAAGGATGGATGATCGAGTGATCAATATTTAAAAAAAATTACCAAATCCGCAATTCGGCCTGGAGCGGCGCGGCGTAGAGAGCAATGATGACGAGGACTTGAGATGAAAAGGAGAAACCCTCAGCGCGGCGGTCGGCATGTGACACATATCAGCGCCTACAAGACTGCATGAATACTTCGCGCATGCCGTCAAACACAGTGCGGTCAGCAGCGGTCGGCGTGAAACGCACAGCGCCTACAAGACTGCATGAATACTTCACGCATTGCGCCAAACACAGTGCGGTCAACGCGACGCGGCGCGATGGCGAAGTTAAACTTATCAAACCACATTTATGTTTGTTCTTTCATAATTTTTTCGTTAATTTCTTATAAATGGAAGGCCTTGTCACGCAGAGATAGGTTTACGGAATTTAACTTTCGCGCAAAGTTCTGTGAACTTTTGCTAGTAGTGTTGACAGGGTTTTCGCAAAAAAATGTGTCCAACACGAGTAAACGCGTCTTATACACCCCTCCCCTCCGGCGCGTTCACTCGATGGTTTTTATTGATGTTACAAAACGAATGAAAAGGGGGCAGCAAAATACAGGCGGCCCATGGGCGGCAAGTAGGTAAATCCTGCCCTGAGCAGAATGATCGCATTCCGTTCTGACACAAAATATGGCGTCCATCGAATCATCCTCACTAACTTCGTCGAAAAAAGGGTCTAGCGGGTTGTAGCACTCGTGGCAGTCAAAACTATACGACTCCAGCACGGTTTGTCTATTTTATTTTATGTTTCGATGGACTATTTCCATCTTTTGTGGCTGGATATTGGGGAAATGTATGATTGTCATCGAAAAATGCGAGAGAAAAAATATTCATTTTCTCTTCTTACGTAGTATGAAAATGGAAGCTACATACAAGCTCTTTTTTTGGAACTTTTATTTAGAGTAGGCCCCTCGAACCCTCTTCCGGTTCTGTTAGGAATGCCTCTACTGCCGGTTGATTACTGAAATTGCTGGAAAAATCGACAGACAAAGAAGATAAGTGGAATATGAAGGGCTCCAAACGGTGGCAGCGGATGGTTGCAACGGACATAGGGATAGGAGGTAGGCAATAGACAAACTAACGGCGACCCAAGCGAGATTCCATACTTGATCCATCATTTTCTCCCTTAGGGTATAGGAACCACCCATCTCAACCAATAACATTGCACCATATTCCCTTTGTCTTCTTCGTCTATCGTTTTGTCAATCAAATTCAAGAATAAGCCTGTAGAGCCCATCTGTAAAGAAGGAAGGGGCGCCGATGAGAGTATTTTTGTATGCTCTCTAATTTTCTCTCGAGACGGGCCCTAAAAAAATTCCCGAAAATTGCATTGATGAACATTGAAAGTAACTGATCTGTTAACCCTCCATGAGTCTCTTCGTATTATCCTATCAATTACAATGTTCATTTACGAGGTAGCGCCGACAGTATCCTTGCAGTATATCAACTATTTTCCATCATTTCATGGGAGGTTACATGTGACCACATTCCCGGACGAAAAAAGCAAGGGAAACTCCAAATTTCAAGTAAATTTTATTTCTCATCCTTACCTGAGGTCCTTTGTTGCTGCTGCTCAGACTTAGGTGATTTTGAATTGTCAAGCATGGCACATCATCGTGGAGTTTGTATTTTCCACCGTAAGTATTAAATCTAAATCATCCTTGCTGCCTGCGAACAAAAAATTCAATATATTATGCTTAGGTACAGTGAATTAAATTCATTTCTCATGAGACAGTGTCGATTGAATGAACATTTTCATGCTTTTCGTGTAGTGTGAAGTTACCTATTTACGAGTATTATTACTTTTTTCTTGATTTTCGTCAAGTCAGGTGGGCTGCAATACCAAGATACATGCGACGTTAATAAATCCTTTTTGATAAATTTTGCCAAAATTTGACGTATGTTGTTGATATCAACGCTCGCACTGGAAGTTTACGACTTTCACCACCAAAAAGGTGAGGAAGTCGGATGTGCAAAAACATGAGAGATGAATATTTTATATAACAGTTCAATTTGATTTTTCAGCGGCAAGCGCACACATTTTCAGCTCATATCTTTCTCTACCGTTGCGTGCCGTAATTAAATTCAGTGCCTCAGGGCGAAGAGACACCTAATTCCATTTCAGTTATTTTTTAAGACATCAGCAGTGGTCAAATGGGAGGCGTGCTCTGCGATTTATCGATTGATCTGTCATTTAAACCTATAGACAAGGATCGATAAACAAGGTGTTTGCAACGGACACTTTAATAATCGATTCTTTACCATAGCTTCAAAGGGGGAAATATCGGTAATCGATCATTCACGCCTCGCCGCTAGACAGGGCCACTCCGCGACGGGCCCATTTGATTTGAACGTTTATCGAAAATTTTGGAATTCTACATCCATCTCAGAGCCGACACCCGAAAAGATAACCGAATGCTTCATATTCACGAAATCTTCATTTGAGATCTCCACAGCGCTAGTAACTGGATTTTTCCCCCAAAAAGAAGATAAGTGTCTTTCCACTCGGAGGGTACTGAATTCATTTCTAAAGAGAGAGAAAACTAAGCATATAGGCATTTATGTTTTTTTAGCTCATCATTTCATTTTATTTTATTTCGTTTACTTTATTTTAATTTTTATTTTCCCCGGTAAAAATTGGCGATGGGAGCTGCGTTTCAAATACCATAGGATTTCTTATAGCCGACTGAAGAAGGCGATAGAAAATAATATAGCTGGCTGTAGAAAGTGGAAAAAATCATACGGCCGGGCAACACGAAACGATAAAAAATTAAACAGCCGGGCTATAGTTCCTGTCGCCGGGCTTTACACTTTATCGCCTGGCTGTTGCTTTTTCGCCATCGGCTAAAAAAGGCTATAAGAAATTGTGTAGAAATTCGTATGCTTTGTAAATCCTTAAGTTTGTACGGAATCACCATAATATTTACAAAACGCACATTATACTTTCCTTTACTACATTTTTTTTTTCATCAATTAAAATGAGAATAATCCATACAACGTGTGCAAACATTTCAAAGTCATGAGTTGAACAACGCTGACTCCACGAGATTAAATATTAGAGCCTAACACAAAGCGGAGCGGCGGCGCACTGGCGCCTACAAACCTAACAGGGATACTTCACGCACTGCGCAATACGTGAAGTATCCCTGTTAGGTTTGTAGGTGCCAATGCGCGTTTTGCGCTGGCTGCCCGCCCGCCGCGCTGCGCAGCAGCGTACCACGGCGCTTGCGGCAACTATTTCACACCATAGGTATTGCACAGTATCGTACGAAATTGAAAGCGCTCCAACAACATATTAAGAATGACAGGCATCCTTCAAAAGTACGAAGCTTCCCTCGCAAAATAAATCAAGATACTACGGCCCAAAAAGAGAGCGGTAGTCCAAAAACTCACTGAGCCCTAGCATTCGTAATTAGTATCGGATAGCATGCACTTTATCGTCAGGATGTTGCTTAATCGCCATCGTCTGTAAAAGACTATAAGAAATTGTGTTGCCGGCTATAGAAGCTATTGGAAATCTTACAGTCGGCTGTAGGTCTATGGTATTTTGGAACACAGATTCTACTGCCAATTTTTACCAGGGTTGTTCATGTTAATATCAATTCCAATTTTTTATTTTATTACCTATTTTAATTTATTATTTCTTTATTTTATATTTCTTCATTTTGATATCATTATTATACCCTATTTTTTACTATTTTATTTTTATATTTTTTATTTTATTGTCTGATTTTACTTCATAAATTCCTTTTCTCGAGACGTAATTTCTCCTTGCCTCAATCCGATTCTCTATCTAGAACAAATAAATCGTTAACATTAGGTACTTAAACATCACAAAGGGGTGTGGAGGACGGCGCGGAAAAGTGCTGTTTTGCTATTTTAAGTGATACTTGTTCAAAGTTTCAAAATTGCACGGGGCCTTGTGATGGAAAGAGAGTTCAAACTCACTTTTTGATAAAAAAAAAAAAAAAGTTTAAAAATTTTTCGTTACTCGCGGTATAATTTTTAATAGAGACGCGTTTTGGAGCAGTTCGCTGCTGACTGATGATGAAGTTCCAAGCTCCGAAACACGTCTTTAATAAAAATCGAACAGCAGGTGAGTAACGAAAATTTTTAAATTTTTTCTTATCAAATTAACTTGGGGCGCCCCCCTCCCATCCCTCACACTAATTTTCACTTTTTAATGCTGAAACATTGAATTTCAGTCGTGAATTTTTCACAGACTATGCTCCAAAACTAGATTTAGTTAAAGCCATTGATTTCTCAATGTGTTCAAAAACTGCACTTATGAGGTTTGTCCCTCAAGCCCCTCAATTAATTATTTTGAAGGGATATTTTGCAACAACGAGGAGTTAATCTGATCAGATGCTATGGGACTGTTAAATGTGCTCGGCTCATGTAGTTCTCGCGTCTGACCCAGGCTTAATGCGGTTCCCCTAATGGTCGACATGTTCGCAATGTCTGAGTGGAGCGGCACAGAGCCTCCGCCTGTTTGAGATTCCAAATTGTTTTGTCCCCGGAAGTTTCCTTCGTGACCGCCAAGCGAAAGCGTCACAGCTTGCTTTGAGTGGCTTGTATAGGGCACTCATGCAGTTTTTGATCTGATTATGGGCTACAGTCTCTTTGATCCGTATTGGAATCGATCCCTCAGAAACCGATCACTTCGTCGTTAGAGTCCCTTTATACTGAGAGTAATGACAATGTGAATCCCTTTCTGATTGGTTCCCGTATGTTAGACCTTCATAGTGTCACAAACAGGAATGAAAATTACATTTTACCAATTGCGGAGATTATAAACTGGAATGGACCGGAGAATTGGGGGAACGGCAAGGAACAAATGGAATGAGAGAGGGAACGAAGACAGGAATTCGGGAATGATTTGATCGAAGATTACAAAAAACGTCCGATTTGTGTAATCTTTATTGCCGTTTGAGACATCGATGATCCACGTTGAGCTCTCTGTATAAAGGGACTCTGATCGTCATTTTTCTCACAACTGAACGTAACTACATTTCGATGTTGCCAAATTTCTCCTTCCAAATTGTTCCTCTACCAAGAGAATCTTGGGTAATTGTAACTGAAAATTTCTGTGATTTTCTTCTATCTCATGCAAAAAACAGACAAGTCTTGGATAAAAATTGCTGTAAAATATTTGAATTTAATTAAATATTTATTTGAGTAAATTTTGCATCCTTGGAACGGAGTTACATTCCTTTGCTCAGAAAACGACAACTTAGGGCGTCCTCTCAGAGCCTCGTATTGAGAAATGTTATGCCACACAAAGGGCAACACCGCTATGGGGCCGTTCACAAATGACGTGACACTCAAGNGGGGGGGGGGGTGACGAGGAGAGAGTTTTTTCTTACGTGTCAAAAGATAGAAACCTATACTGCCGTGCTAAGGGAGAACGCCGTATGAACATTGACCGAAAATTTTGAAAAAATATTCACAATTTTCCCAGTAAATTCTGTTTTTATCGAAGGAAATTTGGCAACGTCTGAAGGCTCAAACAGCGGTCATCCTAAGCAAGGCAGTACACCTTACCGTACTTTTCAATGGCGAATCGGCGAAGCGTGAATGCTCGAGTATCGATATCTCCACATTTGAAGCTGTGGTAAAGAATCGATTATTAAAAAAGTTCTGCGAAAAACCTGTCTCCCACAGGTTTGAATGGCAAATCAATAGGTAAATCGCACAGCACGACACGCCACTGCGCCGCAGTTCTTGGATCCCAAATCCTTCCGAATTTAATATTTCTATTTCTCAATTATTGTTATGACCTTCTCGCGTCTAATTCAGGAAGATATTTTGTTTTGGCGGATATTTTAATGACCAATCGCGCTGAGCGGCCGAGCACAGATGAAAAGGTCAGATTATCGTGACTTCAAGCCAAATCAGCGCTCACCGTAAAAATATCTCGTTTATGAAAAAAAAAAACAGCCAAGTCACTGCTTCAGGTTCCTCCAATACGTTTTTATGCGGGATTTTGCAATCACCATTGGAAAAAATAAGCACCAAATGTTAAAGTAGACTTGTTCAACTTCTCTCTTTTTTTGTCTTCTTTTAAGCCATTTTTTATTCTATATTCGTCGAGACGTCTGCACGAATGAACTTGCCAAAAAAAAAACTGTATTTGTTTGCTCTGAAAGTAGTCTGAACACTTCATTCAATATAATAGCTACGTGTATGATTCATAGCTTTGAGTCGACTACAAATAAAGAGAAACGGCTTAAATTCAGAGGAAGTGTAATATGAGAATACAATTTTCTCAGAGTGAGAGGTCCGAAGGGACAAAAATAACGGAACAAATAGTTTCAGAAGCCACGTATATGCTAAACCATCGTATTTCAAGGATAAAAATATATACATAACTGAAGCGGAGATAAAATCAAACAATCCCGACCACAAAAATTAAACCCATTTTTCATAAAAATCATAAATTTTGGTGACCTTTAATATCTTGCTAGTTGCAGACCATTTTTGACAACGGAAACCTTATCGATCGATAAATAAAATCAAAGAATTTAGAAAATTAATCGAAGGCGGACAAATTTACAGACTGTACTATGTGCCTTTTGTTATCAACTGTACTCAACATTGCCTATTACGCAATTGAAAAAAGCGACGCGGGTTTGGACAGTGCTAACGCGATTCAAGGCTCTGAGGGG